TAGACTCTAGAATCCACAACTTTTTTCACTAACACTACTACTTTTGGAATATTTCAATTAGGATAATCTAGTTATTTACCAAATATTCCCCGTACCCCCTTGACAAGCTTCTTGTACCCCCTGGGGGTATGCGTACCCCAGGTTGGGAACCCCTGGGTTAGGGCATGCCCCACGCCTTGGGGTTTAACAACAGCAACTGGTATAAGAAACTTAGGCGGTTGATTCCCACACCAGTTGTTTATGGTGTCTAGGAAGACTCATATAAGCTATAGGTGTTGTATTTGTAAAAGCTTCAAGCCTCACTAAAAAGGAACGAGACGTTATCCTTAAAACTCTGATAATAGAGTCAGGAGGTCATGTTCAGACTCGGCGCATAGTACTGCAACTTCAGTGAGGAGTCTCTGGCTGGTATCTCCATTGGAATGATGAAAGTTCATCTCTCCTGCAAAAGAAAAAGAGGCCCAGCAGACGTTGATTACTCTCTCACAACGTCCAGGAATGAACTGGAGGTGAACCTGAACCCACAAAGGGCACCTCGTTCCCTTCCAGCACCAATGCTTAACATAACGGCTCAATTCACATTCCCACTGCTGTTCACCTTCATGGCATCAGTCAGAAAGTGTTCGGCATCATTCTCCAGGATAACATCTGTTAAATGCCATCACTGGGATCTTAAAGCAGTGGATCATCACTCTACGGCCAGCGCAGCCAAGACCAAGGCACTTTGTCAGTCTTGGGGTGTGTCTATACTACATGGTTTTGTCGACAAAACTTTACCTGCGTCTACACTACCGCTGAGTTCTGTTGACATAACGTCGACAGAACTTGGCAGTTTTGTCGACGGCAGTAAACCTCATTTTACGAGGAATAATACCTTTTGTCAACAGGGTTCTATCGACAGAAGGCGTTATTGCATCTACACTGTCCTTTGCGTCTACGCTCTCATGTTGACAAAGCGGCTTGCTGTAGTCTAGACGTTCTTTGTCGACAGAAGCTTTGTCGACAAAAGCCTGTAGTCTAGACGTACCCTCGGTGTGATCCTGATCCCTAGAGTATGACCCCCTCCTCCCATGAACAGGAATCTGGCTTACCTTGAATATGCTTTTATTCAAAATATTTCATGTAACATGTCATTGCCAAGCTTGTAATCTGCTAAATGTGTATATTCCATTCTTATGCTTGTACCATTCCTGTATCTGAAATTAGTAATGTTAACTGAAGATTTATTATCAGTGTGTTCGTGCTGGGAAAACCTTATTACCAGCCCATCAGAAACAACATTGAAAAAGATAGACAAAGAGCTAATAGCCCATTAGCAAGAGACAGTGGAGTGGGGAAGAACTCTTCCTGCAGAAGTGCTTCAAATACATGTGTTCATGTCACCTGATGCTGGAATCCATCTTGAATTTTGTACTTTTCCACAGAGGTTTTAGGGAAAACACTTGAAAACACCTGGAAACAAAAGGGAGGGCACGTGTCCCTATAGGCTAGGAGAAACTCACTGCTCTGTCCTCAGAAGGGAGCTGCTGCCCTCACTGAGGGAGAAATGCCCCTCCCCCAACCAAGCAGCTGAATGTGAGAGTCCTGAGCCTATGACTGGGCCGGGCTCATTAAGCAGCTGTGGGGCTGTGCTGCCATGCAGCTTAAAAAGAATTTTGGATAACCTTCCAGCACCGGTGCTTATGGCAAGCACACATACCAAACTTGAAATGGATATGAGCAATGCATCTCTAAGCCACCAGTTACCAAACAGTGGAGTGGGGAAGAACTCTTCCTGCAGAAGTGCTTCAAATACATGTGTTCATGTCACCTGATGCTGGAATCCATCTTGAATTTTGTACTTTTCCACAGAGGTTTTAGGGAAAACACTTGAAAACACCTGGAAACAAAAGGGAGGGCACGTGTCCCTATAGGCTAGGAGAAACTCACTGCTCTGTCCTCAGAAGGGAATGTAATTTAAAAAAGCCTTATAGAGATTATCTTTTTGTGAATTTACATGATACTTAGTCATCAGATACACATTGAAAAGGAGTGTATAACAAAATAGATAATGAAAAATGAAGTCTCTACCTGCTTGCTATTCCCATCATTTTGGTTGCTGTCTATGAGGAAAAGAATCTGTACTATTACTAGACTTGAAGGAAGTTTGCATCATTCTCTTCCCTCATCTCAGTGCATTTGAAATAAAACACAGTACAGGCAGTCCCCGGTCCCTCATCTCAATGCATTTGAAATAAAACACAGTAATCTTGAGCTCTTCTGGGTTTTGGTTATGTGGTTTTGTTTTGTTTTTTTACATACTAGAAGTTAATTTTTTGCTGCTGACTAATATGAGCTCTTCTGGGTTTTGTTTATGTGGTTTTGTTTTGTTTTGTTTTTTTTATATACTCTCTTTGTGTTTGGGTACATGTGCTGTGAGTGTAAGATGCAAACAAGAAGTTGGAATTTTTTAAGTTGAATATCTTAACTTTTTATGTAATTAATAATGAAACAATCAATGTATGCTCAGATTCATGTAATTTAAAAAAGCCTTATAGAGATTATCTTTTTGTGAATTTACATGATACTTAGTCATCAGATACACATTGAAAAGGAGTGTATAACAAAATAGATAATGAAAAATGAAGTCTCTAGCTGGTTGCTATTCCCATCATTTTGGTTGCTGTCTATGAGGAAAAGAATCTGTACTATTACTAGACTTGAAGGAAGTTTGCATCATTCTCGTCCCTCATCTCAATGCATTTGAAATAAAACACAGTAATCTTGAGCTCTTCTGGGTTTTGGTTATGTGGTTTTGTTTTGTTTTTTTACATACTAGAAGTTAATTTTTTGCTGCTGACTAATATTTCTCATTTTGGTAAATAATATTAGAAACACTAGAAAATGTTCTTTGGACTTCAGAGTTTGAGATGAACATATTCTTGATGTAGGACTGGAGAATGGTCAGGAACGAATTAGGTGTATCCTTTTCTTTTCATGTAATTTCACTGTCAAAATATAAATATTAAAGGTGCTTATTTTCTTTATTTGCCCCCTCCTTCACCCTCCTAAGGGAATATAGAAATCACAGGGAAAATGAGAAACATGATCTTATTAAGGACTTGAAGAATATTGGTAAGGGACATCTCTGTCCTGTTCTAAAGCGAACCATTCCATTTGGTATTGCCTACCATCACAGTGGCCTCACCAGTGACGAAAGGAAACATATAGAGGAGGCTTATTCAGCAGGTGTCCTGTGCCTTCTTACTTGCACATCTACTTTAGCTGCTGGAGTCAACCTGCCAGCTCGAAGGTTAGTCATGCAAAAGTAATTGTATGGGTTCATTTAAATCATATGTCAAAACTGCTGCGTTGTCTAAGGTTGGAGATGTCAGTATGATGATTTGGCTCCATTCTGAGTAGAGATTAAAAATGGCATAATCTGCTCTGTAGTTCTCCTGGTGTTTTGTTAATTATATCTGCTGACTTCAAATAGGAGTTTCTCTGCTTTTTGCTCCTGGGAATCCTGCTGAGCCAGTATCTTTCTGAACAATCAAATTGCATTCTACAGTAAACTTCCGATAATCCGGCACCTTTGGGATCCAGGGGGTGCCGGATTATCAGATATGCTGGACCATTGGAAGGGGGGGCTATGAAGAGTCTGGGGAGGAGTGGGTGGGAGGGATTCTCCCCTCAGCGCTGTGGGACCAACCCAGCAGCACCCCAGCTGCTCTGCCCCAGGC